GGATCTGATGATAAGAGAAGCCTTGGAGAGAGTGAGCAGGGAAAGGTATGAGAGCTTTCTTCAAACACCTGGAGGCTGACACACGGAGGAAAGGATTCTAGTCTTCACCCACTCATACTTGGCCACTTGAGAAAGTCACTTATGGCCTTCCTCTCCTCTCTCTCATGTGTAAATACAAGAGATGCCATCAGGGGCCTAGAGAATATTCCAGGATAGGCTGATTCCATTTCATTTTATCTTGCTTCTCAAGTTGTTCCAAGGACAGGGAGACCAGAATTGGTTTCAACAAGCAAATACGCCTTTGGAAAACTCAAAGACTAATGACCACCCTTCAGTGAAAGGGAATTTAAGGAGGCTACGTGATTCAGCCATAAAAAGGAATGAAGTACTGACTGACGCATGTTACAACTTTGGTGAACCTTGACAAAAGAAGCCAGTCACAAAAGACCACATACTACATGATCCCGTTCATATGACAGTCCAGAGTAGGGAAATCTAGAGAGACAGAAAGTAGTACTTAGGGCTGGGGAGAAGGAAGGATTAAGGGGGTGAGAGCTAAAGCATACAAACTTTCATTTTGATGTGACGAAAATGTTCTAAAATTGAATGTGGTGATGACTGCGCATATGTGTGAAGATACCAAAAAACACTGAATTGTACATTTTAAATGGGTGAGTTGGATGGTATATGAATTACCATGTTTCTCAAAAATAAGACCTAACTGGAAAATAAGGCCTAGTGTGATTTTTCAGGATGCTCGTAATATGAGCCCTACCCCAAACATAAGCCCCAGTTAAGATCGTCAGCCACACACGATTGTTTGAATAAATGTAGATTTTCGTACATGAATAAATGAATAAATGTAGATTGTTGGAGCAAAAATTAATATAAGACCCGGTCTTATTTTCAGGGAAACACGGTATATCTCAATAAAGCTGTTTAAAAGAAGAACAAAGAGGAGAAGGAAGAGGAAGAAGAAGAGGAGGAGGAAGAGGAGGAGGAAGTGGAGGAGGAAGTAGAGGAGGAGAGGGAGGAAGAAGAAGAGATCACATGGAAGAGTGGCCTGGATGACTCCAGAACCTATAGCATCTTGGCAAGAGATACTCTCACCACTGTAACCTGCCAACCTGGGTCACTATACCTCCAGACCTCAGGGACACCTAGGGACCCCAGAAACCCAAATCCCATTTGCAGCACCTGGAGTGGTGTCTCACTGCAGGGGGTGCTGACAGCTCTGTTACAGACCTGCAGAAGCCACTGCAGAGCCCATAAATAGCCCCAGATTTGGCCACAGGGCTTGAGTCCCCATCTGAATGGGAGCACACCCTCTAGCCTCCTTGGCCACATCCACTGGAGTGATGCACACAGGACACTAAAGGAGGGTTTTCTTTGCCTCCTCTGCCCAAAGCCCCCTCCACCCCCATTTTTATGTTTCCCAAACCTAACAGCTCAGGGCCTGTTCCCAGGCACAGAAGAGGTGGGAGCTTCACTCACCTCATCTCCTTCTTCTCTCCTCTCACCCACCTACTCTGGCCACCTGCTCCTTAAATATACCACAAACACCTAATTACTTGTGCCTCTACCTGGAGAATTCTTCCCTCAAATGCCTCCCCCCACTCCCAGGTCTTTGCTCAAATGTCCCTTTCTCCATGAAACCTAACCTAGCCACCTCATTTAAAAGTATAACGCCAAACCTCTTTACCCCTGCCTATTGTTTTCCACACACCTCTCATACCTGCCTTCCCCCACTACTCCATAAGCCCGATAGGGACATGGCTTATGTCTGTGTCATTGACANAGGCCAGTGAAACGACGTCCTTCACAACTAGACTGAGGAAAAAAAGGATAGCAACTTGTCTGTTCCCCTTCCGCAATTCCCCAACGGTGTTCCCCTCCCCCAATTCCCCAATAAAATCTTTAAAAAAAACAAACCATATGATAAATATTAGAAAAACTGCTAATATAAAGCATCCTATTAATAAAGGAGTAAAACTCCAAGGTCATTGGTTCTAAGAAGGTATTTAATAAAAGTTAAAACTCACATTTCAGAAACAAACAAACAAAATAAATAGAAACTAGTAATAGAAAACTTACCTGACCTAATGGAGATTACCCATCAGAAACCTGGAGTGAACATCATAATTGTATTCTTAGAAAACTTGAGAGAGTCAACTAAAATCCATCAGAATTGGTAACAGATTACTATGATAGAAGTTATAAGATAACTGATCTGCTTGATGGTGATACAAACATGCAATGGTTTTATTTTTCTTGATAAATATCAACTTTGCTTGGCAAGCCCAACTCCCCACCCTAACCCCACTAGCAGAGATGGAGTAGAGAGAGGGTGGTGATGAAGACTAAGCTTTGCCCATGAACGTTTCTTCTGCTCCACATAATAATTTCATTCTGTGTGGCGATTTCCTACAGAGGTGCAGAGAGAAGCTGGTAAGTAAGGGAGGACAAGGTTTACATTCTCCCTCTCACCCCTTCTCCTCTGTTTCTTGGGCTAAAGCTCTCAGCAAGGGGACTAGACCATGATTATGGATGGTCAGCAGGGAAGGCTTTATTCCTGGGCCGTTCTTCTGTTGAGATTTTTCCCATTTTTGTCAGAGGAGGAGGGGGGAGAGAGAAAAGGAGAAAGAAAAATTTTAAGAGAAAGAAAAGGAANGTAGTGGGGTGCATGAAATTTTTATTTCCTTTTATTTCGAGGTACCTTAAGAAAACCTCATATGTGCAAGAGGAGTATTTAAATAAACTATCATAAGTTACAGAGAATGTAACCAAAAAATACCAGACACCTAGTATAGGGATGGTACTGTCCTTAAACACTGTTTTAGCTGGAAGCTTCCTGGGAGTCAAAGGTAGTATGAAAATGGGCAAGAAGGTAGTGCTTCAAAAATGTTTGAGACTCTCTGGCCTACGGGAGTCAGAGATTATTAGCACCAGAAAAGCATCTTAGATTAAGTCTAATTCTGCCTCTTACAGAGAAGAAAACTAAAACCCAAAGAAGCTAAGTGGCTTGCCCAATATTGGGCATCTAGTTAGCAGCAGAGCCAGGCAATGGAGTGTCCCTACTGCTGTTGAATTCTCTTTTTGCTTCACTGCCAGATTCTCAGTCTTAAGTTTGTTAAGAAAGCTTGTCCAGCATGAAAATCAGAGCTACAGCATCACATGACCGGGCCCACCAAGGGCAATGGCTATAGACACTCCAAGAGCAAATCCAAGTCATCCTGCTGCACACGGAGACCTCAAATCCCAAAATTCACAAGTCTAATATCAGATAAGAAAGTTTTACTGGAGCCATAAGCCATTCTTCCTCCTCCCCTCGTTCCTAAATTCCATTTTGTTCCTATATATCCATTGATTCTGAACTTCAGAGGTTTTTTCCACTAAGTGGCTTATTTTAATCTCCCATGAAAATCATCTCTTTTTGATGAGAGGTTATTTGCTCTCAGAACAGAAACACTGCTGTGAAACACTTCATTCTTTCTGAAACACTTGAAACTAAAGGCTTATAACATACTGAGCCACAGTGGTTAGTAAAAAGTAAAATATTACAGGCGATCAATTTACCCAGGCATCTAAAGATTTGAAGTATCCAAACAATATTTTAAAAATGCCTTTTACCATCTATTTTTTAAAATAACACCACTGTAATATTCTAAAGACTCATTTGTTAGAGGATACAGCATGAGGTGCCGAGTCAATGACAATTCATCCACGGAGCTCTGAATGATTTGTTGGTGGGTCAAAGTGGCCCACCCACAAAATCATATTAAACCATTGCAGTGACATGAGCTAATCCACAGAAACAACCAGTTATATCTCAGTTCTTTGTAAATTTGGGCAGATCACAACAACCCCCTCAAAGCAATGAAGTGCGATCATGCAAGTATGAATTATGTGCTTTTTCTATCATTGTGTCCTTCTGAAGTAAAAATCAGCAAACCGGCGAGAGATTACTAACCCAGGTCTCAGGCATTTCAGGTGAGATCCTTTATGCTGACACTAGTCATTTATATTACAAAATGAGCTGGGATCACATTATGTTACGAGACATGGTCATATTTACTGCTTTAAAGCAGCCTATTCCTGAGATAAAAGCATCTAGGAAGCTATATTTGCTTTTTCAGGACACTAAAAATTTGTGAATTCTTGATTCAGTTCATTAAATGAGACAAGGGATAGGTGAACCAAATTAATGCCCAAGTCACACCAGGGATAACCGAGCATCGCCCCATAATTTCTCAGGCTTCTTTGTTGGCATCAGGTGTATAAGATCTCAAATGGCAAGGAAACAGAAGAATAAACACCTAGCTTGCTACAGCCCACAGTGAAGCAAAAATAGAAAACAAAAAGAGGAAGAAAAGCTGTGACACGCATCCATCCAAGAGCACATCTTCCGTTGCTGTTAATCAGAGTGTATGTCACACTTCCTGGAGCCACTAAAGTCATTAGTGCTGGCAGAGAGGATCAGAATTTTCCCGCTTTAAAAGGAGAAGCAGGGCAAAAGGCAGAAACTAGTCTGGCAGGAAATAGAGGGGTGTTTCTCTACAAACGTGTTATCCAAAAGTGACAACTGTCCAACAAAAATCTTAAGGTCATGTGATGATAAAATGGGGGTGGCTTGAAAGCAGGAAGATTGGCAGTCATGTTTCTCACACCCCCAAACTAAGTTTCAGCCTCCCAGCCCCACTGCCCTCTAGGCTGGAACCTGTGTCCTACGTCTTCCAAGGTGTGGAAAGTTCTAGAAAGGCTTTTGTCCTAGCATAGAACCAAGGGAAAGTGTCGCCTCCCTCTCCTGCAGCCCAGGAGACCTATCCTGGCTGCTGTAAACCAATAAATAGGACTGTGGCTCTTAACATAGTGAGGCCCAGGTTCCTTTTGTAATATAAATGACTAGTGTTAATGCGACAGTGTCGCACCTAAAATGCCTGGGGCCTCGGTTAGTCATTTTTCTAGGGCCTGCTTATCTTTACTTCAGAAAAGGCCCTTACCTTCGGAAATGGCCTTCTTCACAGCTGCCACGTAAGTCTCGGGTTCATCGTCACAGGTGAGCTCCTGCCAGTGTGCCCAATCTGGAAAGAAGTCCAGGAATTCCTCACTGTCATGTACCCCGCAGAGCAGCCGCACCATGCGGTGTGGCGGGTAGAAGGCTCTCTGCAGCAGGGGCAGCAGGGCCGGCTGGCAGAAGTACTGCACCAGCTCTGCAGACAGCAGCACCACGATGCAGCGCGTGCTGAGAAAGAAGCTCAGGTCCTCAGCTGAGAACGAGGTCTGGGGGCCCAGCATATAAGTCAGCGTCTTCTGGCTGCGGACCTGCCGACTGGACAGGAAGAGGTTCTGGAGGTATTGGCACCATTCCTCGGCATCCGGGCTGTAGACGAGGACGATGTCACATCTTCGGAGGACCCCTGAGCGAGAAACAAGGCACGGAGCATGTTAACACGCCTGCTTCTTCGAGGGCAGCCCATCACCTGCAAGATATACCATCCAGAAGAGGAGCCGGGCACCCACAATCTTTCATGGTCTGCCTCCAGCATACCTGTCTGACCTCTGTCCCCATTTACAGTTGGTGTTACAACCATACCAGACTCTCTGTCTTTGCCCAAACATACAATGCTGTTTCAGATGTTTGTATTAGCTATTGCTTCTGCTGGCGTACTCTTCCACCCACGGCTAGTGGGGATAGGATGATGATGATGATGATGACGATGACAGCAAGCACTTATATAGAACTAACTACGTGCCCGACACTCTTCTAAGCACATTGCCTACTAAACTCATTTAATCCTCACAGCAACCTTCTAAGGTAGGTACTACTATTAGCCCCATTTTAAAGATGGGAAAACTGAGGTGTGGCAGTCAGGATTTGAGCTCAGGCAGTCTGGCCCCAGAACCTGGCTCTTTCCCAAATACAGTGGCGACAAGCACAGGTCTGGAATCAGGCAGCCGGAGTTAGCATCTTGGTTCCGCAAAGTATTAGCTGTGTAACATTGGGCAAGTTAAATATTCTAACCCTCAGTTTACTCATCTGCAGAAGGAAATATAACAGCAATCTTTATCAGTGTTTTGTAAGCATTAAGTTAGATATTTCATGTAAAGTGCTAAGTATAGCGCTTGGCTTGTATTGGGTTGTTGGAAAAGTCATGACGTATTTTTTCTGTTTTTCGTTGCAAAACTGCATCATGGCTTTTCTGACAACCCAATAGTACACCTTCAATAATTGGTAGCTGATGCCGTTATCCTCACATTCTTATAAACAATGAGTTAATGTAAATGGTAAGCGTGGTTGAATTAATGCATCAACCTACACAATACCATCTGTAAGGTAGCCCTCATCTGGTCCGTGACACAGGCTTTCCTCTTCCTCTAATGAAGCACAAATGCCAAAAACAGAGTCAAAAGCCTCAGAAAAGGATTGAGTTAAAAAGGGCTTTTGGGGAATCACTTGGCCCAAATGCCTCGTTTACAGATAAAAGAAACACTTCAGCTGTGAAGATGAAGGGAATTGCTTCAATTCAAACAGTCATCAGTCGCAGAGCCAGGATTGAAACTATTGAACAACTGGGTTGGAGAATAATATCGCAAAAAGGGCTGGCTGGGGTCCCACACATTAGTGATGAAGAAGCCGTCGGCCATGTTTTCAACAAGACTTCCAAGTGATAGCAAAGAAGTGAAGACAAGGGAAGANTTTCTTCTCCTGAAGCCTCCAACATCTCATCATTCTTTCTCTGATCTCACTCTTCATCTTCACAAGCTTCTCCCATGCCTGCCCATTTTTGCTTGCTCCAGGAAATTAAAAACTTGTCTTGCTTTAACCCAGGCCGGCCTTAAGATCTAAGTTGCTGCAACAGTGGGGAGGGGGTCTACCTTGGCAAAGCAAGGTAGCTCCCTTTCTGAGCATTCCTGATTCGAGCTTGTTAAAAGAGGAGAGTTTTTCTCCCTGCTCCATATGCATTAGTTTTCACAGAGTTGCAATCACAGTTTATGTGCATACAAATTTGTGTTCTACTTTCATTTGATGTTATTTCATCAAATGTACATACATATAAATTTGTGTCCTACTTTTTCACTGGATGTTTCATAAGTGGTTTTTGCATCACTAGTCTTGGCCTTAAGAACTGTATAATTCCATCATGTAGAGATGACAAAATTGACAATCTTTTATCCCGTGTTGAACATTTAAGACATTGCCACTCTTTTGCTGGGTGAAATTTGTTACAAAATATTTTTAAACAATTAAAGCTCGTTTTCTATTAAATATTTTCTGAAAGTAATCCTTGGGGAATATTTATTTAAAACTTGTATTTTCTCTTCCGTATATTGTCTGTGTCCTTGTCTATTTGTAATGGACTTCTTGATGCTCTTATTCACACACTTCATAGAGGGCAGAATTTAATGCTTTATCATATCTGCTGTAACTATTTCCTCCAATCTCTTCTCTTCCTTCTTTATAGATTTTGTGTGTAGGTATTCATTATTTTTACTATGTCCTAGAAGTTCAACAATTTTTTCCTTATTATTTATTGATTTATGTGAGAGGGTAGTAGAAGATAGTTAGGAGTGTATGAATTCAAATTCCACCATTCCTATTCTTGCTCTGTCATTCTGGGTGACTGAGCAGATTATATACTCGTAGTTCCCTCAACTCTCTTCCCATCTGTAAGGGCCTAGTATCACCAGCAGTGGCACTGAGGTCACACGGGTCTTAGAAGCATGAAATGAGATAATGCATAAAATGTACCTGGTGTATAGTAATTGATAACGGTAGTTCATTGATGTTATTATCATTCTTTTATTCCTTCAATAATTAGAAAATGATTGTTTCACCATAACTGTGATAAATGACTAACTCGTTAGTCGGTTTCATTTTTCATCGCAATGACCCATACATAGCTTATTTTGATGTATGTATAATGGGTGAGTATGAAGTAAGAGAGGGAGATGGAGTCCAAGTTTCAGGCCACATCTGTCAGAGATTCTCATG